ATCAAATTTTTTTTTTTTTTTTTTTTTTTTTCCCTTTTTGGCTTTTTCTGTGTCCGGCAACGGATCGCAACCCTCAGTGTCGCCCCCGCACCGGACCGGGACCAGCAACGGGATTGCAACCCTCGGTGTTGCTCCCGCACCTCGCTCAGCCAGTGAGCGGGAACCGGTCTGCATGTGGGATCCGAACCCTTGGCGGGAGCACCGCCGCGCCTCCCAAGCGGCGCACTGTAGCAGTGCGCCACTGGGCCGGTCCAAGATCAAATGTTTTAATGATGGCATTTTTCCCTGGGAATAATCAAGTCCATAATACAGTTTTCATTTGACTTGACATAATAGTTTTGTTCAGCTTTCTTCATCTGTCTGCACCCCCACTTAAGTAAGCCCTTGATTAGAAATGGTTTGAAAAGATCCTTCCGTGTTTTCTGTAAGGATTAATGGCTAAGAAGCCAGAACCTTTGGTGAAAATGCTTATAAAAACAAAACTGAACCTTATTATTTCTTACAAAATAAAGACGCTGCCAGATTCCGATCTCAGGCCACCTTTGCCCATTTGTAATTCAGAGACTTGTGGAGCAAGGAGAGAAACGATTGTACCTCCCTTGCAGAGAGGGTTCGTGAAGATTACTTTTAGACCCAGGAGTTCTCAGTACTACAACAGAATATGGGGCAGGCAACTTATCCTCTTACAATTCTAAGTCACTAATTTTTAGAAAGTTACTTCTTAAAAATGTCACCTCCTCATGCTTGTCTAAAGCACACAACTGGTTTCCCTTCTATCCCTGCTCTTTGGGCTGGGCAGGAGGGGCACTTTTCTCATCAGTCTTAATTAGGAAGTCCTGAGCAATGCTGGGAGCCATTAGTCACTAAATTGGGGATGGAGGGGGAGTGTCCACTTTTCTCCAGTTCCCCAGCTGCCACGGGAGCAAGGTTCATGACGGAAATGTTTTACTGTTCTTAGTAGGCTAGAGAATTCACGGTTTAAAGTCAGGGCCTCCAAGATTTTATTCTCTTGCTTATGTCACAGCTTATTTGAGAAGTACTTTTAAAAAAAACAGCATTTGCAAAACTGTTCTTTCAAGTAAGCACTGTCAGAGGTAACAAAGGCCTATAATGAACAAAGGGGCGCCCCAGTGCATAGAGAGGAACAGCATTATTGTCACTGGAACAGAAGCGGCGGCAGCCCCGCCATCACTGATAGCATCAGCTGCACTGTGATTATTGGTAAAGGTCAAGATTTTGATTTACTAGCTTATGGTCTTATTTTTTCCAGGCAAAACAAATAAATTTAATCTTACAGCTTTTGTCTTTTTATCTTTTTTGGCCTGATGGTGGGGGTGGAGAGGGACTTGTCAACTGCACAGTCTTTGGAGTGTAAGTTCATTTTTTATGTGATATTATTTCAGTATATATTTTATTAAATTTATTTGAAAACTTGTTGTCTTTTTAAAAATTCATTTACTCTCAGACCTATGTCTTCTGGGATCCCCATGGAGTTGAATGAACAATGTCACTTTTGCTCAGTGGATGAGTGTTTACTGCTAATAACTAATACTAATATCCTCCTTCCCCACCCTCGAGACTTCCCTAAACAAATGTGTGTTTACACTGTGCCAATTTATTATGTTTTCATCTTCATTAACCTATTTTTAGGTTTAAATATATATTGTATCCAAATTACACTCTCTCTTGATCACTGCTAATCCCCAGCACCTAGAGCAATGCCTGGCCTTTAGGAAGTACTCAGAAGTATTTGCTGAAGGAATTGCGGAATGAAAAGATTTCTTAGAATGGTAATAGCGTTTGAAACATACGTTTTATTTAGTTTAGAATTACTACACAGTAGAGTGCGCCGCAGCTGTCATGGAACTGCTCTGATGTCATTGCAGCCAACGGGCATGCGGCTGCGGGTCTTCTGCGGAGGCACAGCATGTCTCAGAGGATGCCGGTGCGTGTGCAACACGACCTCGCAGTGTGGCTTGAGGGCCCGCTCTCCCAGCCTCCTGTCCCGTCGGGGCTGCGTGGTCCTCCTGCAGGCAGAGGGACCTGAAGCATCTCAGGATGACAGCTTCTTCTCCAGTATCTCCTTTATCACAGCTGGATCTGCTCGGTTGAGAGTCATTTTTCGGACTATCCCAATCAGCTTATTTATAGCTCTGGGGTGTCCCTTCTTCACATCCATTACCTTTAAAGATAGAAATTGTTTAGCAGGAGAAAATAGACGCTTACCCCGAAATCCTAAACAAAGGTTTTAAGTTTACTGAAAATTAAATTGTTTCCTTTTCCCATTAGTATTATATATAAAATGAAGGGGAAAAGGGGAGGGACATTAACTTCTGAGGGTTTCCAGGCTCCTGTCAAAGGATATTTTTGCGACTCTGTCTTCTGATTAAAATGAACAAGAGGACTGTGATGATGTATCACAAGTGATTGCCAACAGCTAGAGAGGTGGTGCGCAGGAACAGGACACTCTCCTTTGGGGCTCCACGTGACACAAGGACACAGGCTTGTGAGGGAACAACCTCCGCAGCGAGTCACCGCGTGTAATCAGGGTGAGGACGCCTAACTCGCCAGTGCTGTTCCGCAGTCTCCGAAATGCACGGCACCCGCCGCCCGCCGCGAAGCGAGTCACCGCGTGTAATCAGGGTGAGGACGCCTCTCTAACTCGCCAGTGCTGTTCCGCAGTCTCCGAAATGCACGGCACCCGCCGCCCGCCGCGAAGGTCCACTTGTTAGAAAACCAATCTACAAAATGGCAACTCTTCCAGAGCATTCAGGTGGGGGAATGAGGAAGGCAGGAGGCGCTGAATTCCTAACAAATAACCACTGTCAGGGCCGCCCTGCGACCTCCCGCTCTGCAGTGTCTCGATCAGCAATGACACGTGTGCGTATCTGCACTCAAGTGCTGCAGAACGAGTCTGAAACTAAACGTGTGTCCTTATCAGCCACTACAGATGAGGCAGGGAGATGGAGATTGCCAAGACCCGGTGCAGGCTCATTTTCCTTATCAAGAGCTTTTTACAGAGCTGTTAGTGTCCCCGGCAAGCTGACGGGTGGGAGGGTGTTATTCTGAAAGAGATGCTAGCAATTTTTTTCCCCACTGAAAAATATCTCTAGACAGTATTATGATTAGAGTTGGGGAGGGAGGGATGCTACTCATTTTAGCTTTTCTAGCTTATGCTATGCTAAGGACACAGAATGACTTGATTCTCAGCTCTCCTCCTGTCAAAGATTTTCTCCATAATCTACACATAACTTTCCTTTCTGCCTTTCTTTCCACCTCTTGCAGGCATGAAGCGGACGTGTCACCTGCCCTTCCCCCCTCCACAGCCATGCCTGCTGGTTTGTTATTGCGAGGCCCTCCTTAGGAAGCACAGCTAGCCACCACAGACTCGAAATGCCAGCCCTGGGAGGGGGTGACGTGCCCGGGAGGTCAAGGCTGGGATTTACTGAGCTTGATAACACCCCTTTAAACTGCAACTCCAGGGAGAGTAAACTCCAGGGATGGAATTTTCCTTACAGGAAAATGAATTTTTCCAACATTCACTTCATTTCTTTTGACCTTAACGAAAAAGCTGACAAAAGTAATTAGGGAGTTAGTGATGAAACTGGGCCAACTGTTATTAGGAAGAGCCTCTGGGCTGCGACAGGGAGTGGCGGGAAGGCTCTGGGCCATGTCTTGGGTCCCTGCAGGCTGCCCTGGCCTCTGCTGCTCAGGAGGGTGGCCCCTCCCTCCCGCTGCGAATGGAGACCCGTCTGCACCCCGCCTGTGACAGTCACCACTTGAGGATGTAGCTCCATCGCGGCGCAGCAGAGCTGCTCCAGTGCCTCTTGATCCTGCATCAGCTCAAGCTGCTTCTCTGAAACAATCTGCGCTGGGGTCTTCCCTTCATTCTTCCATAATTCATCAAACACCTACAGGCCAGAGGAGGGAGAGCAGCGAAGAGAAGTGAGGAGCCAGGGCCTGTGCCGGCTGCACGTGTTCCTGCCGTGCTGGTAGAGCTGGGGCAGGAACAGATTCAGTTAGGACCCAGCTGTGTGGGCCTGGCTGCTCCCCTGGGCGCCCCGACTCTCCTGAAGTACTCCTGCTGGGGAACAAAGCCACCTGAGTTGGAGGTAAACAAACCTGGAGCCTCCTGGTGCTAAACTTCTCCCTCACTATGGGGGAGTAGGAGAGGTCTCTGGGGTCAGCCTGGCAAGTCCTCCCCACTTGCTGACTCAAATCGGTATGGCCACTCCACATGGGAGGAGGGCTGTGAGGAGTGGAGGTGACGATTACTCACAGGACTCCTGCTGACACAAGGTCAGAGGGCCAGTGATGGATCTGTGCCCATGGAATTAATTAACTGAGGTGACATTTTGGTGAAGGATAGGGCCACACAGGCTGCAGGAGGTACGGCTGCATTTAAATAAAATCCAGAAACAAGCTTGTTGGGAAACATGATTGGGGGGTGGGGGGTAAAAAGCAGGAAAATAGCCCCATAACAAAGATACAAAATGGAAAATAACTAAAAACATAAATTAGAATCCATGGGGGTCCCCAGCTACATTTATCCCCTACAGGTAGAGCTGGACACAAAGCTGACTAGGATAATTAACAGTTAATGGTCTGGGTATTTTTCTACTTAAAAAATGACAACAGGGCCGGTCACAAAAAGGACAAAAAAAAAAAAATGACAACAAAATCCAAAATGGATCAAACTTGGAAAAAATGGAACATTTTTAAGGAAAGCATTTTCTAGGGTAGTAGTTTTCCTCACTCCTTGGGTTTTGTGAGTATAAGCCAGAATTGGGGGTGGGGGGAGGTCATCTGTCAGTCTCCTGTGGCGCCCCCTCCGTCTGGGCCTGCAGTCAGCACTGCACGGAACCCTCCCTGTTACCACGGGGGCCGAGAACGGGCCAGGGCTCTTCAATAATTAGTGCACAGAGCAAAGCCACTGGAGGGAAAGATGCTCTGCGTCTCAGCAGGGCTCAAAGTTCTCCCCGATCTGAATCAAAACAAAGCACAAATATTTATCAAGGCTGCAACAGGCACTGTGCCTTCGGCTGAGTTCTTGAGAACACGTGGAGGGACTGGCTGAGGAGGCGTGCGTGGCAGAGGCTTCTGGAAGCTCCCAGGGGGTGTCCCTCTGGCCTCTGCCATGCAACCCTGGCTGCTCAGGGAAAACCTGCCCCTACTTTCAGAAAAAACAGGGAACACACATGCCTCCAACTCAAGTATTTATGAAGCCTGATAATGAGGAAGGTATGGAGAGAGGGGCACAAGAACAGGAAAGAACTTTCCTTGCCCTCAACACTTGTTAATAGAAGGCCAGTGGCATGTGAATTGCAGACCAGAACAATTTTTAATGTGGCTTATGCTCGGGGAGCTGTACCATGAACAAGTCTGAGGAGTTTGTGTCTCCTTTCCCTGATACATTTATTTCTCTTGAATTAAGACTTAAATTTTTAAAAACACTTTCCTAATTATAAAAGCTAATACGTGTTCATTGCAGAAAATAAGGAAATATAGAAAAGATAAAAAGAAATCACATATATTCCTATTCCCCCTAGAGAGCCAATGTGAATGAATATTTTGGTGTTCTTCCTTCCCATCTGTTTTGTTACATAGTGATCATAACATATACATAACGTATATACATAACATACATACAAATTGTGATCATAACATATATAATGTATATACCTTTTTTCCCACTTATTACAGAACTACTTTCTTACATTAATAATCTAATATTCATTAGATGTATTTTATCACATTAAATTAAATTATCCCCTACTAGCAGGTACTCAGACTTTGCCCAGTGTTTATTTTGTGCATTTGCACAGACTCCTAAGAAGTTCCTAGTTAAAAATGTCCAACATTCAGGAAGAGAGAGGAGAGATCTCAAGCCCTGGCTTAAAACAGAAACCCCCTGGGCCGGCCCGGTGGTGCACTGGATAGTGCGCCGCTTGGGAAGTGCGGCAGCGCTCCCG